CCCCCCCCGCCGCTCCGCCCCCCCCCCCCCCCGCAGCCGGCGCTGCAGCTGGCCCTGCTGCCGCCGCATCAGCTCGATGTTCCTCTCCAGCTCCTGCACTCGCTTCTCGCTCTGGGCCGAGAGCGACACCAGCCTCTCTGTCGCCTGCTTCTTCTTGCACAGAACCTGCCGGAGGGCGAAAGCTGCCCGTGGGCTCGGCGTCTCCCCCGTGCCCTTTGCAGAGATGCCCCCAACTCTTCCCCTGTCCACCTCCCTGGGTGGGCAGAGCCCTTCCACTCACCCGCGCCTTGCTTTGCGCGGCTGCCACGCGTGTGCGGTACTCCTGCAGCTTGCGCTTCTCCCCAGGGTCCCAGGGCTCTTTGCCCTCCAGCTCCTGGAGCTGCTTCTGGCTGTCGCTCAGCTCTGCCCGCACCTGCTCGGCCTCCTGCTCCAGCTCGCTGATCTTCTGGCAGTACTGCCTGTTCAGAGCCTGGGCATCCTTGCCTGCAACACAACCCCCCTCCGCCGTGACCTCCAGGCTCCCTTCCCTCGCAGCCAGGATCCTTCCTCTCTCTTTCTCAAGTACTTTTGACTACAGGGACTGAATGCTCCTTTGCCCTCAGCTACTCTGGGTTTCTCCCCAAATCCTCTCCCACTAGGAGTCGTCTCACTCAGCTGGAAGGATGGAGAAACTGTGCTCTGCTGTCTACAGGGGAAGGGACTGGGCACAGACAACGCAGGGAGGGAAGGTGAGGACGGGAGTAGAGACCAAGCATCCCAAATAGGAGGAGATTTCACAGGGAATGGATGCAAGTGCCTACCAACAGCTCTGCACCTGTCTTAATGAGCTCCATGATCAGCTCCTCCTTCATGCGGATGTTGATCGCCAGCTCTCGGATCTTCTGCTGTGCTTGCACCAGCCTCCACTCAGAGTCCTTCCCTGGCAGGCGCTCCCAGGGACTAAGCAGCGTCTCCCGCCTCCTGCAGACCTCTGCAACACAGATTCCCGGGTAAGGAAGGTCCTGTCTTAGCAGCTGGGTGACAGAAGGATAATCTAACCTCAGATCTGTAGTCAAGAACTGGCACAGCTTCACCCACAGTCTCCCACAGCTTCCACCAAAACACACCGTTCCTGCCAGACTCCAGCAGTTCAAGCTGCTCCTTAACAAAAGCAGCTAGACTGTCATCTGCTCCATTTTTGTCCCCGGGGCTCACCCAGGTGGGACACACTGCCTTCCTATCAACAGCACCCATGAAGCACCACCAGCCCTAGGAAGACTGTCCAGCAACCTGCGGTTGCCACTTGCCTTTTGACAGCTCCAGGTGCTCCTCCGGAATCGGGTGGGCACTGCCTTCGCTCGGCTCCTCGCTCAGCTTGCAAATCTCTTTCTTGCTCCAATTTTGGATCCCGTTTCTAGAAGGAGCAGCAAATTAATCAACTGGTTCTGGGCACTGCCAGAGCTGTTCCCAGTAAGGACCCTCATGATCCACAGGCTTCAGAAGGAGATAGAAACATTAGCTGTGGTCAGGAAAGAGCGTCATTAGCTCCCCAGTGAGCAGGCAGCTGTCTCGGCAGAACCACTGACCCCAGAGGCAGCGTTTGCTTCTACATCCTACAGGAGAGGTGGGACAGCCAGGTCACGCAACGGCTGGGGCACTGCACAGCGCTGGGACAGCCTCAACTCACCGGCGCCGGGACAGGGACCGTTTCTGTTCCCACTCCTGCTCCTCCTCTCCCGAGGACAGTTCTGCCAGCTTCTCCGAGTCCCGGCTGAGCTCCCTCCTCAGCGCCGTGGCTTTGATCTCCGGATTGCCCGTCGGGCACTGCGCGTGGTTCAGGTGCCAGCCTGCCAGGCCCTCCTCCTGCATGGAGGGGCTGCTGTCGAGCTGCTGGGGCGGAGAACCAGAGAAGAGGAAAGGTGCTGCGTGAGACCCGGTGTTAGAAAACGCAGCGCTCGGCTGGGCGTCACTGCTAGATGCAAAGAGAAGCAACAAAATGGAGTTGAGCGTGTTTTCAGGAGAACTGGCGTGTTGCTAAACCCAGCTGCCTGCTGCCGCTCAGAAGCTGCGCACATCTGGGACCTGCCCACAACATTGCAGTAAAAGCCTCAGTTTTGAAGCTGGGCTGTTTTTGCCGGAGTTGTGAACGCCGAGCGCAGCCCTCTGGACTACACCTCTGACAAGGCTCACGTTCCAGGGGGGGCAAAAAGCAGTTCACTCCGTGGAAAGCATCCGCGTGAGAAGGCAGCAGCTCCTCAGCGGCACAGGCCTGCACCCTCACCTTCCTGCCCAGGGCTCTTCTGCTCTGCTCAGCGGCAAGGAGCCCCGAGGGAACCCCGCCCAGGCCATGGCACGGGGCAGCAGCCAGCGGGGCCGTGTGAGGTCTCTGGCCGGCGGTCACCAGGTGAAGGTTTTCCAGCAGCTCTGGCACATGCAGGTTTGGCATTGCCATCTCCAAGCGCACATGCAGCTCCGAGATCTTGTCCTGCTGCTCCTGCAGCTTGTCACTCTAGGAGGCAACGAGAAAAATGTGGTTTCATACATGTGGACCTGGACCTGCCGCAGAGGAACCTGAAAGCTGGGCTGTGCTTTGCAAGGGAGGAAGGGGAGGAGCGGAGCAGGTCCCTGCGAAGAGGCCAGAGCCCAGAAATACCTGCAGCTTATACTGCTCCATGGCATCCTCCAGTGCAGCCAGGAAATCACGGTTCTCCTCCTCCAGACACTCCACTTGCCTCTGCAGTTTGGCCACCTGCTCGTCTTTGGTGGCCTCGCTCCCCTTTTCGGCGTTCACCTGCCCCCCCGAAATACAAGAGGGGCAGCATCAGCATCCACCTTTGTCCTTCCTTTCCCATGCTGGACTCTGCAAGAGCACAGCAGCTCTGAGGACCCAGATTTTTCCCGTGGAATAAATCTCTCGGCCACAGCTGAATCCAAATTCTCCCTGACTGCCTGGGCTGCTTCTCCTCTCCCTCTCCTGACCCTTCTGCCGGTCCGAGCTGAGACTGCTGTGCCCAGTGGCCATCAGATGAATCCCACCTCGGAGCTAAGCCACTCCAACCGTTACCTGGGCTTTTGCCAGCTTTGAGCCTTGTGCCTCGGGGCTCTGGTCTTCTGCCGATGTGCTCTCGATGCCACTATCCAGCCCAGCTGAGGTCAGCTCGCTCCTCTCGCTCTCCACCGCGCACAACCACTCCTTGACCCGCAGGATCTGCTCCACTGTCAGGTTGCTGTGCTCCTGCAGCTCCATCAGCAGACGGTAAGCCGCGTCGGGGCCGGGCCCGATGCCACTATCCAGCCCAGCTGAGGTCAGCTCGCTCCTCTCGCTCTCCACCGCGCACAACCACTCCTTGACCCGCAGGATCTGCTCCACTGTCAGGTTGCTGTGCGCCTCCAGCTCCATCAGCAGCCGGTACGCCGCGTCGGTGCAGGTCCGGTAATGCGCGCACTCCGCCAGCAGCCGAGCCGTGGGGTCCGGCGCGCAGCGTTTGGCGCTGGCCGAGCGGTGGATGATACGGGTCTCGGAGCGGTGCCGCTGCTCAAGGGCCTTCTGCAGGTTCTTTATCTGCAGATGAAGCTCTTCGATGTGCTCTGTCTCCTTGCGGCAGTTCACCACAGCCTTGTTCTGGATGTTTTGAGCCCGGCTGGCGTAATTCAGCGTGTTGAGGCTCTCGTCGAAGTCGGAGGAGGATGGGCTGACGCAGGCTATCATCACGGTCTGGGCATTGCCCCCCAGAGAGTCCTTCAGGATCCTAGGGAAGAGCACAATGATTAAAATCGCTGAAATACAAAATAATCTGGGAACCAGAAGGTTTCCAATCCTTTTCAGAGGTTAAGTCCAAGGAAAAGGATATTCTCACTCTGTGACTGGCTCAGCACTAGTAACGTGAGCAGAATGATTAAGCAGAGGAATAACAGTCCAGATCGTGGCGAGTTTCCGTCCAAATAATTCCTGAGGCCAGGAGCTCCCTAACCGCGATCACCACTGGGCACGTGCTGCACGGGAACCTCTTGGAGATTGCAAAGGTCACCTGCTCGAGCTGAAAACTAACTGCAGACCATCCCACAAACCTACTGGAAGCTTTTCTTTATTACTATTATTCACTGCCAGGCAGGAAGGGGCAGCATCATATATGCTGACACCCCATCTCAGCTTCAGCAGCACGACTTTTGCAAGACTTTTCTTCTGCAGCACTGCAATGAGCTAGCCCATTGCTTCTGTCCCGGCCTCGCTGCTCCTCAAGCTTCCCTACATTAAAACCTGCACAGAGGGCAGACCAGTGAACGGCTGCGAGGCACAGTGGGTCAGCTGGTACCGTTGAGCAGCCGGTTAGGGAGCCCTGGTGTGACAGCAGAAGGGACAACTGGCCCTGCAAGCTCCTCTTGGCTGGCCTGGGGACTCTGCCACCCAGCCTGGCAGGCTGGACACGGGAAAGGCAGGGAGAAGCATCACCTCCCTCCTGCTGGGACACAAGTGAGACGTGGGGAGCATGGGGGTCCCGCTCCCAGCTGTACCTGGTGATTTTGGAGTCCCTGTAGGGGATGTGGCTGCTCTTCCTGCGAGGGTCTCCCAGGGCACTGATGACGTTGCCCAAGGCCAGGAGGCCACTGTTGATCTGAATACTCTCCTTCAGCCTCTCCCCCGTGTTTCCCCCTTCACCCCGCAGAGCACTGCAACGGCAAACAGAGCTGCGGCCGGGAGCAACGCGCTGCCCGAGGACGTGGTCACTCTGCACAGCCTGGTGCTGCTGCCCTGCCCGTGTCGCACTACGTGCGGACCGGCTGTCCACGCCGAGCAGCACCAAGCACAGAAATCTGCTGCAGGAGAGGGGATGGAGGGAGAAGACCTGGCTCTGCCCGCAGGGACAGATAACCCAACCCTGGCCTTGGGCATGGGCAGAAAAGGGAGCCTGTGAGCAGCCACACGTACCGATGTTCCCCTTGTCATCCTCCCGGATCTGGATGTCCTTGCTGGCTGTGTCCACCTGCAGCAAGTCCCGAAACTCCTCCTTGTACACCTCCAGGTAGGACACTCGGACTGTGTAGTCAACCAGGTCATTCTCGTCGATGAGCCTGAAGGTCTCAGCCAGGGCCCGCGGGATGATGCCCTGCTCGTCTTCATTGATGGCAGCTGGCAGAGATGCACGCGGTCACCGGGAGCAGCAAAGCCCGGGGACGGAGTCTGCAGCACCGGGCAGCTGGGAAGGAGCAGCCTCCCGACCCTCCCACAGCTCAGCCCGCACTAAACACCCCTCCGAGAGGTTTTAAGCCACGGGACCTCGGGGCAAGCCCTGTCCCACTGCTCCCTCACACAGTGTGGTGGCTTCTAGCAATGCTGCTTGTTTCCAGCCCTTCCTCGAGAAGAAGGGGCATTAGCGTTTCAGCAGGTACCAAACACAGCGCCCGCAGCTCCAGCGGGCTGTTGTCCGAAGCCAGGGCAAGCCCACGAGCTTTCCCAGCTCCAAAGAAGCTTCTTAGGTGCGTGCAGCCTGTTTGTACCCGACCACAGCACTTTGCCGTCTGGATTCGAAATGGTTTCGCTTTTGTCTCCAACAGCCGTGGTAAAGGGCAATCCCTAAATCTGGTGCAATGGCAGCCCGAACTGGGGAAGTAAAACTAGAGGAAACCGGACATACGGAAACAATTTTGCGCCTACAAACCATGCGGTTAAGGGAGGGTGACCAAAACACAGCACATCCCCTGTGAGACGCCGTAACCCCGCTAAGCCAGCACTTACAGAGGGAGAGGTTTCCTCGTTCCTCCTCTCCTTCACGTCAACAGGCACGATAACCCCCCTCAACCCCCCCCTTAGGGAGAGGACTGGAGGCAGGACCCCACCACCTCCAGACCCAGCACAGGCCCCTCACTCATCCGGTGGCGCTGGAGGAGAAAACCTGTGCCCTGTGCCTGGTCCGTGGGGGGTGGTCACCACAGC